AGGAGGTTGGCCAGAGGAAGCTGTCCAGTGGAAAGGGAGACCTGTGCTGCCTGCCTCCTCCAGGGAAAGCCAGGTGCTTGGACTCTTTATGGGGAGCGGAACTGCAGCAGAGAGATTAATGGGTGGTGAATGTGCGTGCACATATGCTGTGACTGTCCCCAGAGCCCCGTGGACAGGGACCTGCCTTCCAGATAGGGCCCATTCCAAGGTCTGTGTGAAAGGTTCAGGCATTATGCTGGCCTGCCCCTGTTACCTGGTGGAATCCACTCAGGCAATACCCTGGTCAGCCCAAGGTTCCATGGGAAAGAAGTCTGCACGCAGGTGCAGAGGACCCCTTTAAAAGATAAGTCCCTGCCCCTTTACGCTCTCTGTTTCTCTCTCTCTCTCTGTTCCCACTCTCTGTCTCTCTGTTTCTCTGTCTCTCTGTTCCTCTGTCTCTCTGTTTCTCTGTCCCGCTGTCCCGCGCTCTGTGCGCCCTGTCTCTCTATGGCGACCGGCCATGGCAGTCAGCCATTTACCCTGTTCCTCTTCTTAGTCTCTCCATTCTGCCGGCCCTTATAATAAACTTATAGTTAATATGTATGTCTCAGCAATTTCTCTTTTCTTCTTTTTAAACAAAACAATAACACTGTGTTGCAAAGGGTCCCAGAGAGCCAAAGCAACGAGAAGAGGGAGAGGGTGGAGGAGGAGGACTCCTCTGACGTTTTCTGAGCCCACTCGGGACCTCCAAGATCTTCTCAAGCACGAATTCACATCCCTAAAGACGTCAAGGTCCTTCACAGAGAGGAAAGGAATGGCTGCTTAGGACTCAGCAGAAGAGAGACAAGAGAGGAATGAGGTGAAGAGAGGGAGGAGAGAAAAGGCAGAGCGGGGCCTTTCCCCAGAATCCCAGAGATGCTCCAGGTAGGCTCTGATGTCAGAAAGTAATTATGGAGGAGCAATCTGCTCCCCCACCTCGGGAATGCTTTCTGATTCTAAAGGCCTAAGAGTAACTGCCAGTAGGTAGCTGGGAGAACATGAGGCCAAGGGCAGAAGGGAATCAAAGACCAGCCTGGAACAGCCATGCCTCAGCACATCCCACAGTGTGCTCTGCCGCCTCCTGGGCCTTCTCTCCAGAGCTACTGCCAAGGAGCTCTAACTGACCCAGTAACCTCTGTCCCTCCCCAAGAAGAGAAGAGCTTGTGAGGTGTCTCAGAAGCAGGGCCATGCCCAGACTCCTACTGCCTTAAAAAGAGTGAATATTAATGGGTTCGGTCATAGTCTCTGGTCTTCTGAGGACCAGCTGATGACCTTGTTAAAGCAGCTCTTAGTCTTAGTTTCCCCAAATGCAAAATGGGGCTGGCCACAGGAAACTCAGCTTAGAACAGATGTTGGGAGATGATGTGGTATCAGAATCAGATACATTAGAGGATATGAATACGTTTTGTACACAGAACAGATGAAAACAGACCTTTGGGGGTCTAAGGCTCAAGGAAAGACAGAAATGTTGTCCATGGCCCCCATCTGACGGGCTGGTGGTGAGGCACAAGCCCACTGATGGCGGACACGAGATCTTCAGTATCCTCTTCCTATGTCCACCCCTAAGGAAATTATGTCAAAGGATAATTACATTGATTTAGGCCAGGGAAAGATACATTTGGAGAAAATAAGACATCTGAACGGTGGGGGCAGATGGGGATGGGGAAACCTTGGTGAGTCTGGGATGTCACTCTCTCCAGGTCTTTATTTCAGGATCTGGGGACTGTGGTCACTGAACACTATTCCTGGAGCTTTAGGTGGAGTATGTGCCTGGCACACAGTAAGCAGAAGATACATTTCCTAGTAACAACTTGTGGCAAGAATTCTGGAAGGCAGGAGAGGTAGGGAAAGGGGGTTTACAGACAGCCTAAGGAAGGTGGGGAAAGGGAGGCTTACAGACAGCCCCTCTGTGTGTAACAGAGGGGTTACACACAGCCTCAGGCTGGCCTGGAGGGGGAAGTCCCAGCTTCTCTTCCCCAGCCACCTTCCTGACTTGGAGCTTGGGGACATAGAGCAGAGAGTCAATGGCAGCCCTGCCTGTGTACCTGGGGCCCATTCTTCCTGTTTACTGTCTTGGGCTTGATGCAAACTCCTCCCCAGGCTCCCTGCTGGAAGGTCCTGGGAAGCGTGGAGGATTGGGGGAAGAGAGGGGTGGACAAGAAGTGCTGCTTTAATGCTGAAGTGGTTTTCAGGGTGAAAATGATTGTCCCAGATACAGTAGAAGAGGAGATCGAGAGTAAGGTGCTCCACACTTTGGTAATCTTCCAGGCAAACACCTCATCCTAAGTCCTCCCGCTATTATAGGCTAGTCCTCCATAGCCCACAGAAACCAGCACCCCAACTCCCCCTGAAGAGTGAACTAGTCCTCTCAACTTGCAGTCACCCATAGATCTATCCCTGACCCCACACCCAAGGCGGACATGGCCTTTTAGCTCAGCCCCAGTAGCCATTGTACACCCTTTCTTCTTCTTCGTGTCCTCTCATATGCTGCAACCAGACTTCTCCCACAACCACCCCAGCATTGAGACATTGTGAATAGTCCCTCTCACACAGTCTATAAATGAGTATGTTTTCTGACCCCAAAGGGGACTCTAGTTTGTCTTTGGATAGAATATCCAATATCTGAATAGGTCCTGGAGAGGACTTACTGATGTTGGGTCATACCACATCATCTCCCAACATCTGTTCCTGTGGTTACTAACTGAGCTCAGAAAAGGGAAGTTAAGTTTTGCATCAGACATTTGTCAGATCCCTCTATCATGAGAGTGATTGCTGGGGGTACATGGTATCTCGGAAGGAGTTTTGTTTATAAATTCAAGGATCACTGTGGGGGCTCATAGAACACCATGAATTTCCGAGTGATTCTCAGTTATGGGTGGCTGTAGGGTACTCATGAATCTGATGGTTCAGAGATATGAACAGCCTCCGTTGAGAGAGGCCAGATTCCTGCTGCCAAGCCTACAGACAGAGGAAATCCCTGTTATTGAAAACAGAGCCTCAGTCCAGACAGCCTGTGAGCAGTCAAGGACAGGGTTTTTTCATGGGAAGCGAATGACCAATTGAGCTGGCTTGTCCCACCCCTGCTCCCTGAATGTTCCTGGCACCCCCTTTGGAGTATACTAGAAGAGGTAACAATCTTAACTCTCTCCTTCTGTCCCCCAAACCAAGGAGCCCCTGGAAGGGATGATGAATCCTCCCTTCCACCAAACTCTATCCTGCTATCTTCCCAGGCACCCTGCCCTCATTCCATTTGGGTCCAGCACAGAGGGAGGGTTCATATAGATGCCACATAACTCCCCTCCCAAATGGGGGAACAAACGTGTGAAGAGCAAAACAAAATAGAGCCTTGGTAGCAACCCCTCTGCCATTCCTTCCTTGTACCCAGAACTGTTTGGTATTCCTGAAGAGGGCCCTGTAGTATTGGTTGTATTTAGTGGTAGTGCTGGGTTGAGGATAAGAATACCTAGTTGAATCCACGGCTTCCCCCTTTTGGCCACATCATCCCATGTCTTTCCAAGCTGAGTTTCTCATATGTAAAAGCAGGCTAATCTGAACTTGTCTTCCTCAGTGCCCCCAACACTGTGCCTGGCACAAAAGAGAAGTTTGTCTTCTTGCTTGCTTCCTTCAGCATCATGATGCTTGAAGCTGCTGTTTATGTGGGACCCAGGCTATACTTATTTCTGTATCTTCAACTCACCCCTGACACTCTGCATTTCAGTTAATACCAACAGCAACTGCTTATGGGGAGTGTATGACTGGCATGGCACTGTGTCACAGGCTTACTTTATGCTGGCATCTGCTTAGTAGATCAACTCAAAATTTGGAATAATAGATTTACCCAGAACTGGACGTCTACTAAGGCAAAGAGAGATGCCAAGCCAAGACATTTAAAATGTCCCTTCTAATCTACATCTTCAAAGTGAGTTTGCCAATCACTTGGTTCTGTGCTTAGAGGACATCCATCCCCAAGGTGCCCCAAAACCTGAGACCAAGAGCAATGGTTTATTGAGTCATGTGGTAATGGTGGGTTGTCTTTAAAAAAAGAAAAGAGTATCAAGGAGAAAAGCCCAACATAGTAGGGAAACAATTCACTCAGAGGCCAAAGTCTGGGGGATGGAAAGAGGGAAGCTTGACCCAAACAGAGCTTCATTTACGGTATTTACAGTGAGGTGGTGTTGGGGGGAAGGAGCTGAGGAGCCAGAGAGGGAATCTTGTTGCTGGCCTCAGGGTCTCTTCGGTGGCTGCGTGGGCTAGAACTGCGGAAAGCACACTTGAATTGGCAGGGCTATTGAGAAGAGGACATGGTAGTCCCAGACGTCATGTCTTGCTCTGTGTAGAGCCTCGATGCACTTCCCAGAGGACAGGTTCACTGTTGCCAAAGGGTGACCCACTGGTTGAGAGGCTAGGGGGTACTTGTAGGCTCACATCAACAGGAAAGGGAAGGTCAGCTGACATCCCCAGAAAGTTGCTGGTTGACTTGCCCAGCAGGTGGTAGAGGCTGAAGATGGTAACTCCTAGGATGGCTGTTAGGTAGAGCATTGGCCCTTGGCTATGACTAATGGGCTAGAAGGACTTGCTTAAAGTCCATAATTGCTGGAGTTGTGTTGATGTATTGATGTTGGTCCTTGTACACCCGCAGGCAGGTCTTATTCTAAGTTCTTTGTGAACCCTTTTTCTCTCGTTTGGTGGGTACCAGCCTGGGTACATCTCTCCTCTAGTTCCATCTCTTTTGAAATGGGATGCGTCTTGCTTCCTGGAACTCCTGTCCCCCACAAAAGGAATCTTGGAGGACAGTTTGGCTTTCTCCAAGGTCATCCTGACTTTCATGGTTCATTACATTGACCACACAGGGAGTGAGCCTCGATGCTGAAATTGTGGTTATTTTTCATGTAATAAATAAAGATTCCTTTGTGTGACTCTCTGGGGCCTGTCTCAGGCCAAGTCCTCCTGTTGCCAGGTTGTTCCCACTGTCCCCATGACAACTACAGATGGTCAAAGGCCGTAGCAGAGGTGGGCGGTGCACTTGGCCTTGTTGTAGAACTGTAATAATATGGGGAACCTGGACACATTAAAACAACAACATTATTGCTGGTCAGAGAGGAAGCTGTACCATGGTGTTCCTCCACAACTGCTGACCTTTAAGACAGCACACGTTAATCATTTATCCCTCCCCCCCTGCCCCGCCCATCTGACCATCAAAGATTAACTCCTCTCCAGCCTTTCCTCCTTCTCCATCCTCACCTTTTGAGTTTCTAGCCAGAAAAAATGATGGCTTCTTGCCCCCTACCCCTCATGACTGCTTTGACCTTCAACAGTCTTGCTTCAAGGAGTAGGCAATAGAGAATAGTTATATGTGGCACTTCAAAAACTGAGTACAGTGGGGGTCTCTGGGATGCTCTCTAACCTTGCCTAAAGAATGACAGGTCAGACCATCTTCTTCTGAACACCCAAAAGAATTGTCTCTTGGCTGGTCCAAGAGATTCTGGACTTGAGGGACTCCTACCCAGCTCACCTGGAAGGCCCTCTTGGTCCCACCTGCCTCATCGTCTTTGCCCTTTCTGACTAAACTGAACAAGAGGTAGCTTGGAGTTGAACACATCTATCAGACTTGGAGTTGAACACATCTGTAACAGAGTACAGTTAAGTCCCCTATGGGTCATTTTGGGACTCTAAGATATGACAATAAAAGAAAGGATTTTAGGGGATGGATGGTCCAGCCAGTTTTCCAAGGTGTCTATGAAACTAGACATCTTCAAGATCACTGTTTCTCTCTGACTCAGATTTGCCCAAACAACTGATAGGGCTACCACTTAAGAAGGCTTTCGAAGAATTCCATAAGTTCTTTGTGGACTTATTGTCCTCATAATCTTCCCCAAACAGTTCAGGGACCCAGAGCAAGACAGGGGTGAAAAAGCAGTCTCAAAGCTCATCGAAATTCACTTTCCAGATATCAACCCTGAATACTGTTCACTTCTCAGGCCAAATACAAGGAACTGGATAGAACAATGCTTTGGTGGTGACTCATAACTATTTCCAACCTATTTAGATGACTAATGAGCAAGGTGGCATCTTGGCCTCAACTCCTAAGAAGGAGTTGGCAGTGTACAGGGAACTCTTGAATAGTGTCCCCTGGCAGAACCATAAGCAGGTAGGCCAGAAACTCTAGGGCTTTGCTTGACTGTAACTTCCCTTGTCTACCCTTGCCCTTCAAGGCTTGATTCCTGGATTTTACACAAAACAAAATTTAACAGGCACGGCTGTGGAAAGAGAAATATGGAAACTGTAGAATGTGTGGCCTTTTGTTCTCTTCCCTAAACCCACCTGATACTGAGATCTGCTGCTGCTATCTTCTGTGACAAACAGCTACCATCTCTCTAGACATTCCCTCTAACCTGGGGCCTCCCAGCTCTTTGGTCTGGCTTCATTCCCCACCACAACCCTTCCCTGCCCCTCAGGGATTCTGGACAACCCCAGGAACTTACTCAGCAGGCTGGAGTTGGGGAAGCGCCAGGCCTCGCTGTAGGAGGAGTAGGGGGTGTGGCTGTAGGCATTGCCAGAATATTCACTTCCTGTTGGAGCACACAGGTAAGACCTTTGAGGTTCATGACACCAGCATGGGGACTAGTATGGGGAAGATAGGTCTGTAGGGCTGGGCAGACTGAGTCCATAAATGAATGACACTGGACAGAGCAGGTAAAACCAGGACAGGGACAGTAGAGCTCAGGATGTTCTCCAGTGTGGGTCATTTGGGGGCAGTTCCTTGATACACGGAAGCCCTCTGAGAGCCCTGGGAGGCAGATCCCCATTTTCCAGATAAAGAAAGTGAGACTCTCTATGACTTGCAGAAACTCACACATGTTGAAAATTCGGTGCAGTGTGGAAACGGCCAAACTCTAGGAGCCAGATTCAAATTTTACTCTTTCAGCTACCAGGACTCTACAGAAGGGACTCTCCAGAGGGGGCTGGTGGTCAGAGAGGGAACCAATGCTCAGACAAAGTCATGCCCTTGCTTTAAGCAAACTTGGTATATGCATTTACACAAGGTGTGTGAGATTACCTCTTCCTGTCAGCTGATCCTTAGCTTTCCCAAAATAATTATGTTTGTCAAAGAACTTACTAAAGAATTCCCTTTCACAACAGCAACAAAGTGGAGCTGACTACCACACCTGCCACTGATGTGTAATTTAAAAGTTACATGGTATTTCTGTAACTCATGCCCTTCTCATCTCTCCTGACCATCCTATGAAGTTTTCTCCTGGACTACCAATTTATACAATGAGAAACCAGAGTGGAACCTGAGGAAGTAGTTTGTCTACTTGCACTGTTGACCAATGATGGACCATGAATTTGACCTTAGAACTCTTGATCATAGACTCCAGATAATTCCTTCAAGTATTTACTTCATTTACAAATCCAGCCAGATTCTAGCCAACTTAGTATTCAAAATATGTTTACACAGTCTTTTGGAATCTCATCTGTGATTGTGAGCTAGGTGCAGTCTGTGACTTCTTGTCTCCACCCCAGACCTTGGAATGAAGGTTTGAAACTCCTCAGCTCTGGAACTGGCTGGTCTGAAGTCAGGTCTCTACCTTCCACGTTTGGGCTTGGATATGTCACTTTCTCTCTCCCTGATCCTAGTGTCCTTGCCTACCATGAGGGGCCAACTCTTGTCCCTATCTCATGGGATTTGGGTGAAGATTAAACGAGATGGTCTAAGAATCATGTTCTTGGTAAAAGCAGTGTCAATAAATGTTGACTTCTTTCTATTTTCTCCTGAAACAGGGGCAAAAAAAAAAAAAAAAAAAAGGTTCATGGCTGGGTGCTCTTCCAGAAGATCCAAGTTCAATTCCCAGCATCCACATGGCAGTTCATAACTGCCTGTAACTCCAGTTTCAGGGTATCTGGCACCTTCACACAGACATACATGCAGGCAAAATACGAATGCACATGAAATAAATAAATTATTTTTAAATGTTCAGTGGATACGTGGATCAGTTGCACAGTCAATCTTAAAGGCTGGCTGGGGCCTTATTGAGGAGTTGTCATTTGTATGAGTAGAAGCCAGAAAAGAGCCTGAGGTAGGGGAAGGTTTCAGAACTCTTTTTGTGTCTAGTGTTTCCATACCAGGCAACAAGGACTTTCTTTGGGTTAAGGACAGACCCAAACACAGATCTGGAAGAAAATACATGTCCAAGAAAAAGGCAAGGGGGGGGGGAGCTGATGGAGAAGAAAACTACGAAATTAGCTAACCCAACCATTTACTTATGAATGAAGAAACTTCTATGCAGAAGGTCTCAAGGCTTTTCCCCAAGGTGACAATGCTAAATAAGAGCCTTAACTGAAGCCTGGCTGCCATGTTCCTCTGACAGTGCTTGATCCTTCAGCCTACAGTGGGACCTAAGCCTGTTTACCACTAGTGTATTCCAGTTTCCCTGGTTTCAGCATTCCCTTGGAGGAGGCCAATTCCATTCTGGCTGTCCAGCAAGGGCCCCCATCCTATGCCCTTACTCTGGCCTCCCAGTGCTGAACACTGCGATCTCTAAAGGTCAAGGAAAAGAGTTGAGAAACACGTTGTGTTTGTCCTCTCATTTTATCACTCATTCGTGCATTCACTCACTGGGCATTCATTCATTTAATATATACTCTGCATGCCTCTTTACCTCCGTCATTGGGAAGCTGGGATAGAGGCTGCATCTGCCTTCATAGTACCTTGGAGTGTGGCATTTCTGCTACTAGATCTGTCAACCTGCATACCGTCACAGATAATGAAATGCCACTGTGCCTAGGAAAGGCTAGTTCCCTTTGTTCTTATATAGCATGCCACTAGCCTCTTTCTCTGCCTCGGGGTCTCTGCCTTCATCCTCACATTCTACTCCAATCAGGCCAATGCTGATCCAGGCAAAGTGCCTTAAGTCAAAGCTGATAATTCTAATGACCATTTCAAAAGCAGCAACTCCCCCAGCCTCTTAGTCCCTCACTTCCTTTGGAATCTGCATTACTCAGTCACCCACATTGCTTTGCAACTTGCCTACCTTTTCTACTTACTCTCTTCCTGTCCCTTCTTTGTAAGGATTCCACATAATGTGGAAGAACCAACCCCAGCTTCATTTTAGAGCCTTCTGAGACATCAAGCTTTAGCTAATCATTTCAACTCTATTACGACCTCTGAACCCTTGATTTCCCCCGCACCGCTTCCTCTCCTGCTTTGTTACTTACCATCATCATCTATGACGCTCCCCAAGCCCAGTGGAGAGACATCTATCCCACGTTTGTTGCCGCTATGTCTCATCTACTTGCTGTCGGGTTTTGTTCTATTTATCACCAAAACATACTGAGTGTCTCTTTTATCCTTTCCTAGCTAAATATCTGTTGTTCATCTCTTCCACAAACTAGAGCAATTATCCCCTAATTTGTCTTTGTGTCTACAATCTATTTCCTCAAGTATCTGAGCAGTGTTCTAAAACATGGCCCCGCTGCCACCCATTCCTCCCCACTCTGTGGTGCTTTCTCCAGATGCTCACGACCCTTTAATATGCTTTTGGTATACTGTCATGTTCAATTAGCTTTTCCTGCCTCGGGGCCTTTGCGCTTGGTCTTCTTTGGGGCTAGGGATGGTCAGCCTCAGTTTATTCCTTGGCTGACCACTTTGAAAGTCTTTTCAGAAAGGCCTTCCTCTCTATTCAATCTAAAGTGGTTATCTGCTCTCCCTGTGGCTCTTCGTTGCATCATCACATTTTATTGCCTTTACAAAGTTATCTCCATGTGATATTATGTTTATCCATTCATTGGCTTGCTCACTGCTTGTTCTTGTCCATTGTCACAGATAGAGGGGCATGTTTTGTGCATTTCTGCAGGCCCAGTAGATCTTCTCTAGTATTTATTAACTGAAAAAGTGCTATGTGGATAATAGAAGCATCAGTAATGAGAGAATGGATGCCAGGAGGGTGGCTGGGAAGGGAGTTAGGTAAAAGTATGGACACATGGAAGAAGGAAAACATTGGATGCATGGATGGAAAGGCTGATGGGTAGAAAGAGCAAGGATTGATATGTGTATAGATGGATGGATAAGAATAAGCAGATAGATGGGTGAAAAGAGAAAAACGAGGGATGGGAGAAAGCATGGATAGATGGCAGGATGAATCTAACTATCTAATCTGTTGGTTCTGTTTTACAACTGGTGTGAAAGCCATTAACTATTTGTAGGGTCAGGCTGTAGCTTGCATCTTTATTTATGGCATGATGGAATGCAGTGTGGGAAAATGGAAAGAGGCACAAATGTTAAATCAATAGGCATGTGTTTGAACAACACTTTGTATCACCCCTGAGCACATCATTTGGCTCTTGTAGACCTTGGTTTCCCTAGCTATGAAACTTGGATTTATTGTAAGGATAAAAGAGAAATAAGTTACACAGATAAATGGCCATGTATGCAGAAATGTATAATAAATTACCACTTATTCCTTTGCAAAACTGATTGAAGAATGGAGCAGACATGCCTTATTTGAAGCCTTACATGTGCCTTAGATGTCTGCAGTAGATGCTTCATGCATTAAGAGACTTTAATGGAAAGAATCGTCAGTCAGTCTACTGAGAGACCAAAGGCAATGGTAAGAGATGGATCTGGTGTTATTTCTCTACAAAAGACATTCCTTCAGAAGTCATTTGCACAAGAGTGCTCTTAGGAACCAGGTGATTCATTTTAATGACATTGCATTTCCTGGAAACTAATGTGGACACAGCTTACTAGAAATCCATCCATTGCATACGGTGAGACCCTTCCCTTTCACAATTCACTTGCAATCTATGCGATGGGTGTGGTGAATGCACATGTACGTGTACGTGTATGTGTGTGACTCACACAAGCAGTGTACATGGATGCTTGTGCCTGAGAGTATTTCTTCACAACACCCACTCTAGGAGAGGTCTTCCTAGAAGCAGCTCTTCCTCAGTCTTCCAGCTACCTTCCACATCATACTCTGGTCCCAGGAACCCCTTGCCCTGGACCTGCCCCCAAGAATCATTCACAGTTAAGAGAGAAAGAGAGAAAGAGAGAGAGAGAGAGAGAGAGAGAGAGAGAGAGTCTTGCTTCATGTTACTTCCTTCTCCTCTAAGCAGGCAGCAGGGAAAGTGGATGGCTTGGAAAAAGGAGGTGCAGGGAGCAGACTGGAGCCTAGGATTTTGATTGAGAGTCCCCATTATCCACACTCTTAAAAAAATAACCGAATCTTTTCCTTTTTTATCTTGACCAATCTCATTTCACGCTCCACAAGAGGGAGGGAGGGAGGGAGAGAGGGAGTCCGGGGCCAGGAGGGAGAGAGGAGTCAGAATTCTGTATTTTCAACGCTGCATTAACCACATCGCCACGGTAACCGGCAGCAACAAGTGCCAGCTCAGCAGGTTCCCAGGGAGCAAAGCCTCCTCTCCTTGCTCCCTCCCCTCTCTCTGCCTAAGAGAACTCAACCCACCTGCCTGTGCACAGGGTGCCCAGAGTGGGTGGCTGGCTGGCAAAGATTAACCCCTGCCAGGAGGAAGCAGGTTTGGTGGAATATGGGTCCAAGTCTTTAGTGTCAGAGCCAGGAAGGTTGGTAGAGGGTTGGTATGGGGTGTCGGGGGAGGGGTGGAGAGTGTCACACATGGCCCTGAGTTCAGAGCCCTTGCCCAAAGCTTCAGGCCCTTATACCTCTATGGGCAGTGGAAATGGCTCCATTCTAACCATTCATCCATCCCTGGGGCTTTCCCACATGGCTCCTAAAAGACTGAAAGAGTATTGTCCAGACCCCGAAATCCTGGGTCATTGGATCATAACTGGCAGACGGACACCAAATGGACTGACTGTCAAGTAAAATTCCAGGACATTCCAAATGAGTGTGAAGGACTCTTAGCTCATACTCTAGTATCCTTAGAGTCAGTAGAATCTGAGCCCTACTCAGTGTTGAGTGAGTGTGGAATGCAAAGGAAGATGTAATTTCACTCATTTCATCATCATCATCATGTTCATTTTTCACCATTATCTTCACCATTGTTATCATCATCATTGTCATCATCATCATTCAAATTAAGATTTTATTGAAGAGGTAAATTGAGATCCATCTGATTTGATTTAAATCATGGGAGACCAGAGGTTAACTCATGTTTGTCTCACAGTGTTTGTTGTATGCTCTTCCATATTTAAAAGTGGACGAGGAGGAAGTAGGGGAGCGTGGACATAGGTCTGTCTATGTGGAGGCCTTGGGAGAAGACTGCTAAGCTGAAAGAAGTCAAGGAGCCAAGACGACACTGGGGATTTTCCCTAGGTGTTTATATGAAGGTAACCCTTAAGGTACCCCTTTGGCCTATCCTTCATTGTCCTTTGGGAAGCCTATGAGTGGAACACAGACTATCTCTGTCACCTATTGTCTCCCTATTTTTTCAACACTTCTCTTTTGCAATGTGTATGCCCAGTCCCTTAACCCTTACCTGCCACCATGCCTGCGATAGCAGAAGAGGCATAGCTGCCCTGTCCACTGGTGGGGATATGGGGTGGGTATCCAGGCAGCGTGGGCCCCACCATCTCTCGCCCTAGTAAAAGACACCAAAGAGTCATTAGTCAGTGTACAGGTGGCTCCTATGCTCACCATCCCACCCTGCTGAGGCTCAGTGTGTCTCTCCTTAGCCAATACTGCTGGAGCCGCACACATTTTCCAAACCTACTTCCGGTCTCCTATGAGCCCACATTCTTCTTTTCTCTAGAGGGTAGAGGCTCACCAAGCAAGGGGCTCTTGCAATTGCAGTACTACTTTGTTCCCCATTCCCTAGGAGCTTTACTTTCACAAAGATTACTTTATTCCTCCACAAAAATGTCAAGGCATTGGGTGCCAGGGTGGTGTCTCCTTAGTCCTTATCTTCCTGCCAGCATAGCAGTTGGCACCAGTGGACTAAATAGATAGATGAGAGGCCACTACTCAATGCATCATTTTCACCTGAATTTCAAAAGAATGACAAAACCAGGCCTTGTGACATAAAGGTAGATGGATGATCCATCACTGTCCTTTGGGAAATATGTGGCAGACATTGCTAATCAACCATAGAGGAAGCTCCTATTGGTTGGCCTGGACTTCCAGGTGGATACAATTAATCAGAACAGCAAGGGACATGAAACATATTGACTATTCCTGACATAAAAGGAAACATCACTGAGAGACTGTTGACTGTCCACATGATCCTAAGTGGCATTCTTATCAATTGTACTTAAAATGGCATCTTTGGGATGTTTCATCCCTGATCTAGCTCTGCTTATCTGTGATTTGTGTCAGGACTACATCCTAGAGACACCAGGGCCATCTCCCTGCATCTGTCTTTCCTTCACACTGGGAAATGAAAGCTTCCCTTCTGGGAGACCTCACCTGGCCTTTGATGTTCTCATCTATGCCTGCCCAACAACCAGAGCCCTTCCACTGCTCCCCTCCTCGTTATTCCTGTTCTGTGTGCCAGATCAGAATCTGAACATCCTGGTTTTCCCAGGTCTGTTCGTGTGATGACCACTGACTCAGAATGTCTAGTAACAATGGCCAGTCTACTCTTAAAATGCTCCAATGTGAGTAATGAATTATTTGGGCAAACTAGTTCTTGGTGATGCCTGTAGAATTCCATCTGAGTGATGTTGACATTATTGTTGTGCAGCTGTCCTACACATTAAAGGGTATTGGGCAGAATCCCTGGCCTCTACCCACCAGATTCCAGTACACCAGTGAGACAAAGTATCTCCAGACATTGCTGTATGTCCCCAGTGCGGAGGAAGCAAGGGATAAAATCACTCCTGGTAGAGAGACCATTCAGCCCAAATGCTTTCTACCACCTTCCTGAGGGGCTGCCTGGGAGCCCCTGTCAACCAGCTCACCAGACCTACCTTCTCCATGTCACAGATTGTCCCCTCTTCCCATATGTCCTCCCAGATCCTTCATACCTAAACTTCTTGAAAGGGTACCTGGTTAATGATGATAAATGGGAAGGTACATACCACGAAGCCCTGTGAATTGTCAGCCCCACAGTGACTAACTCTTTCTTATCCATGAGGACAATTCTTTCATCCATCGAGTACTTATTGAGAAAGTTTTAAGGGCTAGGCACTTGGGGAAGAGAGAGAGAGAGAGAGAGAGAGAGAGAGAGAGAGAAAGCAGGCACCAAAGAGCAAAGCTTGGCACTAAGTTGAAATGGCTAAGATGGGCTTTAGGTTCAGCCCATCAAACAATACCTGTACTTACAAGATCTGCCCCTTTTCCAGAGAGAAGGGGCTAGGAATCAGAGGGCTAGAGGTACTCATCCTGTTTATATTGCCTCCTATTTGCCCTGAGACCAGCCACTCTGACCCTAAGTCTGTTTCCTCATATGCAAAATGGGGGTGGGGTGGACATGAGTGGCCTTATACAAACTAGTCCTACAACTCTGGCATTATCAGTATAATTCAACCTGTTGCCTCATGTTCTAGGTAGACACTGTTTAGTGCAATGGACACATTCTAGAAATGCCCATATCAGTGAAGTTCTTGCAGAAAAACATCCTGTCAAAAATAAGCTGTTAGTATTTGTTATTGAAAACGGCATTAAGATTTTTAGACGCCGGAACACATGTTTCAAACCAACCATCTTTACTGAGTATCTAGCTGTGACTGGCATTGAACTAAACAGGTGGTTTCTGTTCACCTTACATAAGGTCATCAGAAGAACAAAGGATGGGCTGGAAACACTAGGAAAGAAAGGGAAATGTGACAATGAGGAATAAACACAAGATTTACCCAAAATAAACTTTGAGTTTCAAGTGAAGGAGTCAACAATATGACACCATTGACACCATTACCAGGGGGCAATGATCGGGAAAGGGTGATGTGATGGAAGGGGAGCAGGGTGATGGGCATCTGGGTGACATATTGGAAAGAGATCTGGGCTGACTTAGACTTTGTACATTTGCTTTCTTCTTTCTTACCTACTAGATGGAAGGAGAAAGCAAGAAAGGGGGGAAGGAAAACCACGACACACACACAGACAGACAAAAAAAAGGAGGAAGAAAAAAAGAGAGAGAGAGAGAGAGAGAGAGAGAGAGAGAGAGAGAGAGGTATTTTGAAACTGAGACTGAATACTAGATCCAGGCAAGACTATGAACAAATTACTTAATTTCTCCAGGCCAAAATCCTCCTATTTGCCATACAAGGATGTAATTCAGAGAAGAGCTTGTGACTTGGGTTCACTTTATTTCCTGGTTGGTGGGACCTCTTGGCACACTGTGGAGGATTTTGAGGCAGGGCCCATATCTTCCATGAATTAAGATTAGTTTTGGCTCTCTGGCCATCTATTTGCTAATGCTAGTCTGCTGTTGCCTGAGCCTTTCTGGTGCTGGCAGCCTGTAGTCCCAGGCCTCCTGTCCTCCTGGTCATTTGCAATCCATGAACAGCTTTTTCATCTAGGCTGTCTGGTGCAGAGTTCCTGGGCACATACCTCAGGCCACAGTTTAACCCACTGATCTCTATCAGTGATCTCTATCAGTGGGGCCCCACCCCATGAATTATTTTGCTCTTGCAAAATAATTCACTGGTCTCTGTCCCTCTATTCAGGGATTTTAATCTTCATTTCTCCTCAGTTACCTAATTTTCTCTCAGCAAGAAAGATTTCTGAATCAATGGCCCAAACAGATCACTGACAACTTCCCCTCATAAAACCTGGCCCTCCTGGAAAGACAATTTTTTTTCTAGAACACCACCCTACCCAAACTGTGCCTTCATAGACTGTCTTAACAGTTCCACAAAACTCTCTGCTTTAATTTCTTTTATTTAGAGAAGACGTATGTGTTCATGTATTTTATGTATATGGATGTTTCATCTGTATTTACATCCTCACACCAGAAACAGGAATAGTATCCCGTGGGTCTACAGTTATAGAAAGTTGTGAGCCACCATGTGGGTGTTGGGAATTGAACTCAGAGCCTCTGGAAGAGCAGCCAGTGCTCTTAACCGCTGAGCCATTTCTCCAGGCACTCTGCTTTAATTTCTTAAAGAACAAGATTTTGTAGTGTGGGAGTATAGCTCAGAGGCAGAGCACTTGTGTGACTTGAATTTAATGCCCAGTATTGGAAAAACAAAAAACAAAAAAAATGAAAATAAAGTCTTTCAGAGAGTCAAGAATCTTGAACCACGCCAGGTGTGGTGACACACGTCTTTAATCCCAACACTCACAGGCAAGCAAGATCTCTGTGAGTTCCAAGCCAGCCTGGTCTATAGTGAGTTCCAGGACTGCCAGAGTTACATAGTGAGACCCTGTCTCAAAACAAGAAACAAAACAACAACAGAGAATCTTGAACAATCTAAGAAACAAAACAACAGAAGCCACCAGCTGGAGATGGACACACCCTCTGGTCAGACATACCCTCCTCCCCATTCTGTTTTGAAGGCTCTTCATAATCAATATATCCTTACTGTCTTGCTCCACCTCTACATTCCAACAGACTTCCAATGGGGCCTCTTGTAAAAGTGTTGACATCAACACAGGTTGTCTGGCTACAAAGTGGGGTTCTCTAGGAAAATTCTGGCCCCCCAGAATTCTTGGTAAATATTCTAATTAGAGGTAGAGAGCAGGAACAGAAAGCCATTAGCTAGAGGAAGGAATCCAGAGGGTAGAGGTGATTTTAGACTATTTCATTTGACCCCTTTGATGTCTGCCCTCTGTGTAACCCCTTTTCAATGCCTTATCTTGTTCTCAGAGCAAGGAGAATTTATGGCAACCCAGAAATCTCCTTGGCAGGACTAAATATAATTTGTACAAAAGAATGGAGGAGGACACTGGGCTCCTTGATGATAAAAACCTAACTGCAGCTTTCCCATCAGCTGAGCCACAGTCAGCCTTAGAACAGCAAGGACAAGGATGTCCTTGATGTCATTGAGGTGGCCAGTGGGTTGGAATCCAACAAGCGGCTGGGTGGGTGGGTGAGGGTGGTGTTCTAAAGGCAGCGACTAACAGGAACTGTAGGTAAATCTCATTATTTCCCAAGTCCTAATCTTTCCGATTTCTTGGCCGACCAGAAAAAGGCTGAGGCTCAGAGAAAAGTCATCCTGGAGACAACACTCACAGAACCCTTGCTCAGGGAGAAAATGTTGAGTTTCAACAGGTAGCAGGGGTTTCTTAGGCAGGGTCACACAGAGGAGGGGACTAGGAAGATCCAAGCAGGACTGAGCAGGGCAGATTTCAGTACTCCTGACTCTCCCTCCCTTCCACCCTGCTTTCCTGCAGAATATCCTGGGAATGATTTGCTCTCTGCCTCCTCCTCCTCTTCCACCTCTTCCTCCTCCTCCACCTCCTCTCAGATTTAGCTCTTTCTCTGGTTGGTAGGTTATAGTTCCTCAGCTCTTAAATTCATTCCATTTCTAACATTCCTCCATCCTGCTATGTTCCCTCGACCCCATGAGGGCTCAGCCAAGAGATGGGTATTTAGGTACAGGCCTCAAGTAGGAAGTCTCTGCAGTCTGAATTCAGCTTAAACACTAGCACATCTGCCTTGTCCCTAAGCTAAAGATCTGGGCTCAGCTCTCTAAACTCCAAGTCTTTACTTGCTTCTTGCTCTTGGATCCCTAGATACCAGATCCCGAAAGCCTGGTCACTCTGTGTTCTTAGGGCCTTTGTCTCTATATCAGATTTTAACATTGTAGCCAGACATTCAGGAGTGATCAGATCCAGTCCTGGTTATAGGGGTCACCTGGTCGAGGGTTTGCTAAACTACATATTTGGTTACCTACTGCCTGGGTGACCACCTGGTATCTGTTGTCAGCTGCTTTAGCCCACGGACTGGATGACCTCTCAGTCCTGCAGCTGACTTGCAGAGTGGGCACATCCACTAAATTACAGACAATATAAGCGGGAAGTATTGGCCCCAATCATATATACTGAAAAGGAAACTTGCAACTTTAAAAGGCGATAGGATGGGAGAAAGTGTGGGGCTTCAGGGCGAGGGAGTTTGCCCTAGGCTGTTCTAACTATAAGCTAAAACACTGCCAATGTCGCAGGGCAGTGGTGGCACACAGCTTTAATCCCAGCACTCAGGAAGCAGAGGCAGGTGAATCTCTGAGTTTGAGACCAGCTTGGTCTACACAATGAGTTCAAGAACAGCCAGGGCTACACAGAGAAACCCTGCCTCAGAAAAAAAGAAAAGGAAGAAAGGAAAGAAAAGAAAAGAAAAAAGACATCATAGCCTATATCTGTGATGATCTGTCTAAACTTCTGGCTACTGCCTGTCTTCTCTCTCAGCAAAGGCTCTGCAGCTCATACAATAAAGGAAGAACAGCCCTGGATCACATGCCCTTCACCCTCAGCCTTATCCCTTACCTGCTTCCGGGCCTCTCACTCCCATGAGCCAGACAAGTGTGCCCTGCTATGCAGCCTCTGTGCACCCACAGCAGACACAGGCCATTTCTTTCTAACTCCCAATCTGAGTTCTTTGGCTGACATAATTTCACTCAGCTCACAGGTTTGTGCCTTTTAATCACTTTGCTCAAAACAAATGAGCCATCTCTGCTGACTTCACCCTCTTGAAATTTCAAACTCCAAGTCAACACTTTTTTCCTTTCTTTGGACTCTTAACCACTGCCTCTCCGCCCTCACACTGCCCATCTCCACCACCAGGGCACATGGATGCACAGCGAAGGGAAAAAATAGCAGTTGTCAGATAGGCAGAAAATGCTGTCACTTATAAGAAAGCATGCCTGGGCTGAGGTCACAGGACCTTTAGATCCTCTGAGCCAATGGGAGCCAAAGTCACACTGCTGTGGCATCTCAAGCCTGTGGACCTCTGGAGGCAGCACTCCTACTTCAGAACGGAGCTACTCTGTTCTGGTTGGGGCACCTGGCTTTGGCAAAGGATTTCATTTTAAGTTGCCAGAGAGGTCTAGAATACTGGAAAACTGCTGGTCCAGATGGCCTAGACTGTCCAATTCTGGGCTGTCTCTGTACCAAGTCTCCCCATCTCCCTTACCTCTGCTTTAACCTCTCAAGGTGAAAGGGCCGGAGAGCAGGATATGGGGAAGCATACCCTCTGTCGTTTACTGTGCAGACTGTGTGGAGACAGTGCTCATCACATAGAAGATGCTCAGCTGGAAACTAGCTGGCTTCCTTTCTGGGTTCTAAGACCTCCCAGGGCCCCCGTTTTAATAGTCAATCAGGTATCTGAAGACTTTAAGGCATCTCTGCCTGTGCCCAAACCCAACTTTGATTCTTTCAGACATTGCTCAAGTCCTAACTGGTTGGGATAATGTCCTGTTTGGAAGATGCAGTTGGGATTAGACACATGGGCCACTAGCCCTTGCCATGTTTCCACCTGGAGACTGTAGTTGGGCTGTTTCCTTTTCAGTATATGTTGGTTTGCTCCAATGTCCCTAACCTACTTCAGGCTGTAAGCCAGAGCAAGGACCTCAACGCCCCCAGCTGGGAAGCTGTGCAGTCACCAAGGTTAAGGCAATGAGAGATACTCTGGTGCCCTTTAATGGTGCTGCCGTGCCCAGGGTGGTGAAGATGGCCACCAATGGTCACTCAACATTCCTTTTCAGGAAGTTGATCCAGAAATAGGCTCAAGATCCTTTTCCTCTCCACATTGTGTCTTTGTTTCTTTTTTAACCTATTAAAAAAAAAGGCTCACATTTTACCAGCACCTAGGTCCTTTGTATGGGTCCCTATTTTCTCATTGGCTTTTGAAGAGATGTATCCCACTTGCTGGAACCCCCGAAATGGCTGTTTTTGATTCCTGACTTCTCCCACAGGAAGAGACCCATGTGCTAAATAAAATAGACACTAGGGTGGTGGTGGGCTAGATTTGAGCTAAAGATGGGAGTAGTGTAAGACCAGAGGACTTTGGGATGGCCTTGGTGACCTCCCTCCCACCCCACGACACTACAGAGCCCGGGACCTCCCTGTCGTACCTGAGAGGAGGGCCTGGCCCGTGAACTGCCCGTACACCGAGGCAGCATGGGGAAAGGCATTGAAGGGTGGGACCGAGGCACCTGCTGGGCCCCCAGAGCCGACTTGCTGCAGATCCAAAAAGGCGGAGCTAGATAAAGAGGAAGGGGTGGAGCTAGAACTGGAGAGCTCTGGGGTTTCCTGCTTTATGGCGAAGGGTGAATGAGGATCTGCCGGAGGGAGGGAGACAACAAGGAGAGAGGGGTGTGAGATGACGGGGCGGGAACATGCACAAACCAAGCCATGAGATGGGGTTAAGGGTATGGGGATAGGCAGGCCTGGCTGCTGTAGGAGGAGTCTAGGATGGGGAGCCGGGGTGTTCCTCAGATGAAATGAGATGGGGGAGCTGGAGGCTCTACCTCCCTGCTGTGCCTTCTGCCAGTGTAAATGGATGGGGAGACTGAAGTATGTGTGTGCTCAGCCTCTCCCTGCAAGAGGGAGTAAGGAGATTCAGGGGGCACCAAAGACTGAAGGCACCACCCCTTTGCTCCACTTTGAGGCCCAGTCAGCATAGCCCACTTCTCCTTTCCAGGCCAGCACTCCAAACACCTTCCTCCTGCCAGCCAGACACTTCTGCCTTCCCCTGCCCCAAGCCCATCCTGACCCTCACAGTAGGGTCCAGATGTCTCAGGAGCCTCTGGGCATCCTACCTGCCACCACCGGGTAGGTCTGGTGAGTCGAGAGGTTGCGTCCCAGGGGTGTATTGGAAGGTGTCAGGGTGGCCTTCCCATCATCCAGGGCACTGTTGAGTAAGGGCAGTGGGTACAGCCCCTGGAGAACAAAGAGAAGTCAGCAGAGGAGAGCAAGGCCCCTCCCTGAGCAAGCCTGTCTTCCTACTGACCCTACTGTCTGTCTCTGGACTGGGTAGTACGGGTGTCCCCAGGAAAAGCTCCTTGCTCATTGTGCCTTCCTTCTTGCTCACTTTTAGCTCAATGTGGCATGTTTGATGGGGCCATGTTCTCCCACTCAAAGACCTGGAAACCTCTGAGGACCTAGCTTAGGGTTCCCCCTTCCAAGCTTCAAACTTCAAGGCCTGTCAGTGGCATAGAAGCCCCAGTATGTGATGGGAAGTGGCCATCAGAGAATTGTGTCCTGACTGGGTGCTGCTCTCCTTCCTATTTCTTCATATGGTTTGGGCCTGTAACATAGGACATTGCCTAGGGCTGGAGCAGGGAGCAGGTGGGGCTGCTCAGAATCTTTCTCTCTAATAATTGATTCCGACTTAGATAGGAAATGCAAGTGCATAGCTGAGGAAACTCACCCCTTCTCCTGGGGGGGGTAAAGCAAGCATTTGGGCTCCGGTGATTATACTATCAGCTACTGCCCCTGACTGATAGCAACCATTACTTCTTACACTTGCTCACATTCGGTCTTTGCTGCTATCATTCTTATTGAGCAACCCAGTGATGCGAACCAATAAGACTTTGTCAGATTTACACTACATGTGCAAGTGCAAATATTTGGTTTCACCTTAAAAGATCCATAGGATTCATTTTGTTCTGAGAATTCCACCAAGTACTTGGGGTCATCTTCAGTAAAGGCTTATTTCAATTCCTACTTGTATTCCCTGGTATGAGTATGGTTATGGCCTAAGGCACCCGTTGAGTAAATAATTTGACAGGCTAAAGACAAGAGCATAGCCCACCCTCCCCTTGGCTCCCAGCTGTTCCTCCCAGGGAAAGACAGCTCACATCCACTCCACAGGTCCGAATTTCACAAAAGCACTGTATGAGCTATTGTACGAACCAAGGAGCTTTCCATGGTTATATAACAGTCCTACTGAAGACAATTGTTTTCAGTGATTTCCATTGAGCTCAGTTCTCCAAGGAGTCACAGTGCTTTCTGGTTGCATGCAGGGCACTTTTGGAAGCTGCAGTCAATTCTGGAGGCCACCAGGGCACCATCAGCATGTAGCAGCAATTACTGACTAAATAGCACTCTCTGGTTCCCTTCTTCTGAGGGGGCCTACTTAGAGGCAGGGTGGAGTTGCTCAGAGCTAGCTGATTCTAATGAAACTGAACAAAATACCTAATTTCTAGAGAGTGTAAGAAAAGTTTGAAATGTCTTGTGAATGTGTTGATTTGACAGCAAAATACTTACTCAAAATCAAGTTTCTGTTCCAAATCCAGGCCAAAGAGAAAAGGAAAGCTATGTAGTTGGAGATTGGCTGGTGTTGCATTTAAACATGCCATGATGACTGGATTTTATTTTTCTGGGCTTGAACTTGAATTGGGGGCAGGAGAACATAATGATTCAGAACTGAAATGACTTAGTTTTGATTCTGCAGCAATCTGCAGGGAATTGTGGTCTGTTTGAATTCTCTGAGTCTTGATTTTTTTTCTCCCTGCCTTTGAGGATAGGGGTCCTAGAATCTGCTGCACAAGACTGACTAAACATTATTTGTGATTTTAAATAAAATGTTACTGGGCACAGAATACTCAGCAAGCACAGAATGTTCAGCAAAAAGTGATGAAAGACATATTTTTACTACTATATGAACAGGCAGTAACTGCCACATTCTTGGCCTATCTTTATAACATTCTCTATAATTCTATTGATTCACATGGGGTGTGGGCTTCAGATATAGAGGAAGAACTACACAGGTTTCTAACAACACCTGGGGGTGACACTGCAATGAGAAATGAGGTCACTTTCGCCCTTGTTGGTTTTCCAGACAAGAAGTATATGTCTTTGTCCCATGCTAAGGCCTTTTTGTCTCCCAAAGACACAAAGCTTTATATGCCCAGAAAAAGGAGCAGGTTCCTTTGGGACAGTACAGACACAATAAGCAGAAGAGCAAGGTTCAGGCTGGGTGTTCTCCATAAACCAGCCTGATGAGTGAATGAATGCAGGAACAGCTGAGGGACACTGGGTTGGGCTTCACTTTACTCCTCTAGTCTGCAGAGTTAGAGAAGCTTAATGATTTTCAAATGCTCTTGTTTTATTAGTCTTTACATAAGAACACTCTGGCACACACCTTTAATCCCAGCACTCGGGAAGCAGAGGCAGGTGGATTTCTGTGAGTTTGAGGCTAGCCTGGTATACAAAGCCAGTTTCAGCCAAGGCTACACAGAAAAACCCTGTCTCAAAAACAAAAAACAAAAAACAAAACAAAACAACAACAAAAACAAAAACAAAAAAAAAACAAAGAACCAAACCAAGGGGCAGGAGAAGAACATCCGTGGAATTTCCATGTCAAAAATGAGTAAGGGTAGATCAATGCATGTGAATGAAACTAGGGTTGGCAGCCCTAAACTCTGCAATCATCTTCTTCCCCAAGTCTTCCCATGCTCCAGGCCCTGAGTAATCCTCATACAAATTGAAAAGCTAGGCTGAGTGTCCACCAAGTTTCCTGTAGTTCTAAGAGTCTCCCATCCTAAGATCTTCCATGCAAAGCCACCAGCATAGCATAAGAGCTCACTCTAACCAAGCAAGGTGCTTTGGAGGACTTATAGATGAATCCGGGAAATGGCTCTAGGACCTAGTGGATACAAAGGGTCTCCTTGGTAGGGCTACATTATTCTACAAGGGTAGCTAGTATATGCACATTGCACCACCCATAGAACGAGCTTCCTGCAGGCGCAACACTTGCCTCCTGGAGCCATGCTCTGATTATCAGATGTGCACCCAGGCCCTCTCCCTGGATCTGCTGATAGCCAACTTTGTCTACACCATTCACAGCTGTCATAGCCAAGGCTGATAAAAATCACTGACGCATATTGCCTACCCAGCTGTGGGGGTTGGCACAGGGCCAGCAGCCCAGCCATTCATTGGCAATGTTTCAACTGCTTGTTAGCATCATCATTGTCTCCCTCAGGTCTTAAAGGTGTACTTATGGCTTGTGATAGGCCATACCCCAAAGAGTTTCCTGAGCCATTTAACTAGATGGGATGAAGAGAGACAGACATTGGAACCATTGACATATTAAATGTATCTCAAATGGTTGTTAGCATTATGGGGTTTTTGTTGGCCTCGATGTGGGAATATTCATATCTCTGTCTGCTTTTTACAGAAGCCATTCCATTATAACCCATTTCTCCATTGCCTAAGATATGCAGGGGCAAGTTCCCTGTAGCTTGTACCTTATCATTCTTGGTTTCCCAATTGATTCATTGGTTCATTTGTTTGATATACCTTTGTTGAGAAGTCATTAAAATCCTGGGCTTGGGATGCTCCTCAAAGGTAGAGGAATTGCACAGTATGTGTGAAAGCCTGGGTTTGATCTCCATCACCACAAAAGTAATAATAATTAATAATAATAATGTTAGGCTCTAGAGATGGGGGCAGGGATGCCTCAAAAGGCTGTCCTGTTTTTAAGAAGTCTGTTGCCTTTAGGTTATTAGGATGAACTGTGAAGTCAATAGAAGCCATGTGTGAGACAAGAAGGCTGACAGGGTCCAGGGGGGTGAATCATAGGTGAGGGGCAGGGACAAATTCACAGAGAGGGTGATTGAGCTGAGTCATTGCAGCCAGCTGGTATTTTTCCGGGTAGAGCATGAGAAGAAAGGCATTCTACAAGGAGGGCACATGGTGTACCAGGGCAGAGAGGTGGGGATGAGGTCGGTGCACTTGAGCACATGAGTCACACAGAATCCTAGGCTATGGAGGTGGGGCTAGGTGTGGGATTGAGGTCATCGTAAGAAGGGTGTGAGCCTTAACTCCAATTGTGGGTTTGATTCTATTGTTGGAGAAAGCCACGTATGGCAAAAGGATGGCCCTGCATGCAAGAACTAGGTTCAGAGTTCAGATTTGGGTTGTGAGAAGAGGGCAGCAGCATCAAGACATCTTGTGATCAAGGCAGGTGCACAATTGGACGTTGCATCACGTGTGCGCCCTGAGCCCAGAGGAGCAATTTGGAGTTGCTTTGTTGGCTAGAGTTCATTCTTTGCTCTGCACCCCGCCTTCTTACCTGCTCGCCTTTGGTGTGGCTGGGGGAGGCATAGGCCTCCGAGTAGTGCTGCCGCTCAAACGGGCAGTCAAGCGGCTCCAGGTGGTGCTGGCTGAAGGCGTCTGTCCGAAGGTGCTTTCGGGGACCACTGCTGCTGCTCTGTGAGTCGATGCTCAGCCGACAGCTGTCCTGGTCACCTAGTGCCCCCAGGCAGGCAGGGAGAAAGCTTTCAGGGGACCCATCTTCCAAGCCATCTGACCAAGTGGCCAAAGCAGAGGAGCAGATAGGCTGAGGAGGTAGGGAAAGGGTCAGCAAGAGGAAGGACCCATGCTCATGTGAATAGGGGGTTTCAAAAGAACCCGACCCAGTCCTGGGCCAAAGGGAAACTTGAACAAAGTGGTCTCCTGTGCCTCGTGCCACCCACGGGTCCCCTGAGAACTCACTGTCATCCATTTTTCTCTTGTTGTCACTGCCAGGCTGAGCAATTCCCAGGAGCCCGTTGATAGAGTAGGTAGAGCCCAAGGAATCCGACTGGGGTGACTCTGGGGGTGTTACAGCTGAGCTGGGGACTGTAAAGGAATAAGAAGGTCAGAAATGGGAGACCTTAGTCTCACAGCCCCTATTGCCACCATGAGTTCAAAGCAGTAGGCCATGCTGTGGACAGAAGCCCTGGAGAGCTAGAGTCCTTCACTCCAAGGGCGTGCTGGTGGGAGGGATTCCTAGAATGGCATTTGTCTGAAGTGTCCATTTCCCCATGTTCCTGGGAGTCTCCCATCAGTGTGGAAGTAGACCTTGTCTTGGGGTAATAATTCAGTCCATAGACACACATATGAGCACTCATATGTTCTTGTGTGTCTGTATGCATCTGTGTCTACATGGGTGTGGGTCTACATTCAAAGTCAAGGGAACAGCCAAATCCCTGAGCACTCACTTAGTGTGTGTCCTGGGCTCAGAGACTTGGTGGCCACACAGCTGTCCATGGGAAGGTTGAATGGTTGCTGCACTTTGGTTCTGATGATTCTGTGAGCAAGCAGAAGGACTGTTAGAGAGAGGATGATGTAGGAGCTATGGCTGTCACCTTTATGACAACCCACTTAGATGTCTTACATGTGTCTCCAACTCAATGAGTAGACCATTGAGCTATGACCTCACCTCATTCATCTGTTTCTCCATGTCCTATACCAAGTCTAGACACATGGGTCTCTCAAGGCAGAAATACAGATGCAGCTCAACAGGCTTCTGTAGATTTGACCTTGATAGCCTCCCCAGAATTGATACAGTTTTGTATCTCACTGTTAACATCTAAACATGTGCCACCATCTGCTCTGTTCCTCTAGAGTCCTGAAGTGACCCCCCCACACCCATAGTCTATCTAATTGTCTCTCTCCTTTTCAGCTAGAGTGAACTTTTTCAAGTACAAATAGGCTTTCTGATTAAAACACAGTAGTGGCTGCCCACTGCACAAGCATTGATGGCAGCAATCTGTTACAGTGACCACAAGCTTCTTGGGGACAGTTTCTTCTGGCATCTTATGCGCAGTGTACTTCAGGTTCTTCTTGTCTCTTGACTGATTTTCTTACATCTCCTGTCCAAGCTCTCGGTAGCCACAGGCTTTTGTACATAGTTGCAGAGTTCATCTGGTAATCCTTCCCACCTAGTAAATTCCTGCTCACTGCTTTTCTTAATTAGGGAAAGGCATTCACAATTTCCCTAAAACAAGTTGCCATAGGCTAGCCCACATGTCATTGGGCTCCTAGCCTCAGCAGGACAAGTAGCTGCATTTTTGCAATGTCTTTGTGGGTACTCTGTGTCTGTGCTCCCCATTAGATTGTAAACTCCAGAAGGAAAGGGATTTTCTGTGTTCTGGGAACTAACACAGAATAAATGAATGAACGTTGTGGGAATGAATGAGTGAGTAAATGAAGGGTGGAGACAGTGAACAAATGATTGGAAACGTGGACAAGTGACCAAGTACTCCAGTGGGGGCCAGAAAGTGATCTACTCAGGAAGTTTTTTTCACAGATTGAAAGAGTATAAAATGTTTAAGAAAGAAAACAAGATACAGGACAACGTAGTGTGTGGACAGAGGGAGGCTCTGTAGCAGGAACAAGAGAAGGCTAAGGAGGCGGGGTGGACATGACCTGGCCTGGGAGCCCCTGCCTGATTCTTCCAAGTAAAGCCTCTTCCCAAACCCCTACTCTACCCAGGCCAGGCTCTTCATGTTTCTTACAGGAATCTTCCAGAACTCTGGGGTCTAGGAGGGCTCCGGAAGCTGCTGTCTCTCACCTGTTGATGGAGCTGACACTGGGTACAGTGTCGTTGTCACAAACGCCTTCTGCCAGGAGCCGGTCCCGGATCTCCCAAGCAAACATGGTAGGGTTCTGCCGCTTGTAGTCCCCTATCTTCTCCACCACCTTGGGGGTGGCCACCTTGGGCTTGGAGCCCCCTATCACTCCAGGCCGGATGCTGCCAGTCTCGTAGTACCTACTCCAATAGAGAACCCCCCCCAAATTACCCGATAAGCAGGTGGGGCCTTTGAACAGGGATCTGGCCAGAGCCTCTGACCCCTCTGAGTCTCCTGAGGTGAAGTACAGGAGTGAGACATGCCCAACCTAACTCTGGATTTCTCTCCAGCAATCCACTCCTCTTGTTTGGGTAGATTCATGCTGCTCCCAAAGCAAGACTCCCTCTGCAAAGACTTCCTCCTGGGTTCTCTCTCTTCTCCCTTGTAAGAAAGTACACTAGGGACTCAGTGTACACAGTGGTTCTTTTCTCTCATCCACATTCTCTTGGCATGATTGACTCTACTCCTTTGCTCTCCTGGCTTCACTCAGGGAAGCCAGCTGGAGTCACTGACCCCTCTGCTGCCTTGCTGGGTCACTTTTACCTTGTCCAAGTCTGAGCCATCCCTCTCACCCTTTGCCCTCTGGTTTTCTACCAGGTTCCATGGTTCAAATTGAAGCTGCTTCTCCCAAGCTCTGCAGTCTAGCCTCACTTTGAATCCCTGGCCTGATTCAGTCCCTGAAGATGAGCCTCCTCCCCCTCCAGACCTATCCACCCCACAACTAGCTGGCTGACAGATTCATAGCTTGATCAAGATGCCCCCTGGCCTCCTTCGGTCTTCTGTGGTCTCTTCTGCCAAAGAATAAAATGGTCTTTAAAAACGCCATTGTCATGGCCACTCAGAGCTTGTCTCCTCTCTGGGATTCCACAATCATCTGACTAATGCTGTCTCCCTGGCCCTAAGAAAAGGCCTCTTTCCTCTAATAGCTTCAGGCAGAGAGCCAGGGCTCTCCCTGGCCCATCAGCCCAGCCCGTTTACTTCCATGAGGCAGAGTTTCCCTTGAATCTATATAGGGTCTATGTGCAGCCGGCTGGCGAGTAAGGTGGACAGGACATGCAACTTTGGAATTCCCAACTTCTCTACTTAAAGGACATTTCTGACAGAAGTGTCAAAAGCTTTGGTGTTCCTTGTCCTTCTGAACCCGTGCCCTGTGGTTCTCAGCCCTGACTGAAAGAATTAGAACCTGTGAGTGGGGTGGGGGCTACTGATGTACATTTATTTGAGTCCATTCCCTCCTTATTTATTGGGGGAATTTAGAGTTTCCTGGCACAGCCAGGGCTGTGAGCCACCACCCTGGGCCTTACAGACCAGTGCTCTCAGTCCTCCCTATTAATGAGTTTCATGCTTCCTGGCCATCTTACAAAAGCCACGGGGTTAGCTGAGAGGCTGACTCAGTAGGGCTGGGCTGTGAATTTCATGAAACACTCTCATTGCTTCTCTAACAGATACTCTGAAAGTTGTGGATTGAAAAACACAAGATTACACACTACGCGGGCCTGCAGCTGTGAGGTTGACCACAGAAAGTGAGGCTTACAAGGAAGGTGGTGTGTGGTGAATTTCGTGCTTACCTGCCAAGGATCTTGCTGACACAGCCATGGCTGACACGTAGCTGGCGAGAGATATCACAGGGCCTTACGCCCTGGTGGGCCAGGTCCACAATACGTTGACGGACAACTTCCGGCAGGGGCCTGCCGTTCACAAAAGCCCCTCCTAGCTGATTCAGCCCTCCATGGCCTAAAAAGACAGGATTGTCAGGGACAATTGTCAGAACCAGGTGGTAAGTGTTGGGTGAGACTTAGTCCTGAGTAGGAGTACTGTGTGTGACCATGTCTAGGCACTCCATGGTAGTTCCTTCAGCTCTCTCTCTACATGTGCCCCAGCTTTCTCAGAAACATACCTCCTGGGAAGGCTGGCACAATGGTATAAGCGCCTCCCCACATCTGTCACGTGAGGGTTCAAAAGGAGCACATCCCTATCAGGTGACCCTTTACATCTATTCCATCTCTTTCAGGAGCCCAGCCCTTTGTGCCAAGTATGGTCAATGACTGCCTTCCCCCATTTTCCCCCATTCGCAGACATGAAAGGAGTAGAGGATTCAGGCATTTCTTAAGTTGATACACTCAGCTCACTGAGTGACATGGAGGGAAATATCTCCCTTCCCCCTGAAGTTCCTTTTCTTTTCAATAAAACGAAGGCAAAAGATGAAATATGGTCTTTCCCTTTGTCTTGCTCCTCTTAAACTATAGAACCTTCTTTTCTTTCCCCCCTTTTCTTTATCTTTCTTTCTTTCTTTCCTTTTTTGATTTTTCGAGACAGGATTTCTCTGTGTATCCCTGGCTGTACTGGAACTCACTCCGTGTACCAGGCTGGTCTCGAACTGACAGAGATCCACCTGCATCTGCCTCCGGAGTGCTGGGATTGAAGGTGTGCGCCAGCTTGCCCAGCTACTGAACCATATTTTACACAAACACGAAAGAGGCAAAGGAGAGGGTCTCTGGTTGAGGTAGGTCAGAAGGGACTAGTCTGTAGCTGTCTCACCTAAGCAACCCCAAGTTTTCTTCTCTCTGACAAATCAGAGAACTGAAACCAGAAAGCTGAGGACACTGTGTCAGGCCATCATGGGGGGCACTAGAGTACATGGCAAGCCAAGCCTTAGCTACTTCCCTGGACTTCTACCTTCTGGACTGATTCTATACTTCATTCTAGCCATACATATCTAGTCGGACCCGTATCTAGTACCACTGTGCCAGGCCTAGTGTATGACAGGTGCTTTAGCAGGTTTTGAAGCCCCAAGGTGAATCAAGCCATCTGCATACTTTGACCACCTCACAGGGTTTATTACAGTAGGAGCCTAGACCAGCTAATTAACATCCCTCATGATCTTCTCTGGATTCTCATGCTTAGAGAGGTAATTATTGAATCCGTAGACCCAACCCTGGTCAAAGAAGCATAGAAGGGTTCTTAGGAAAGTTCAAGCTGAGACTAGAAGAGAGAAAGGAGACCCAGTTTGAAAAGGTTTTGAGGTTAAGGGGTAGGTGTCTGTTAGATTTGCAATACTTCCAACTCTACAAACCACGGTGGGTTAATTTCATAACTGAGATGTCCAAATTCCAAAAAGAAGGCCATAAAGAGCATTTCAGTGGCTTAACTCAAATGACTCAGCTTATGTGAAGAGCAACCAGGATCCAAAGCTTAGAAATCCAATCATTGCTGCCTCTGTCTGGCCCTTGATTGATGGCTGGAGCTGACGATGACTCTGCAATCTTATGATGACAGTGTCATTGCTTAGGCTTGACTAGCATCCTTCCACACCAAGGACTGGATCTGGGATCTAGCTTAGGGTGGGGAGGTATAAGAACTCTAGAAGTTTATGTAGAGCAGAAAGGATTGAGCCCAAATGCCTGGGACCCCATGAAGCTTACTGCATGGCATCCAGTATTGTACAGGGGGTCATAAAGAGTCATCCAGTGAGAAGGGAAAGTTGATACCAGGCCAGTGTGACCAGTTAACAATATGTATGGGCAAGGGTGGGAAGGTGTACCTTTGCTGGGCACACTGTGCCCATAATCACCCACTGACTTAGCACATTCAGAACCACCTCCCAGTTTCTCCTCAGGGGCCCAAGATGTCTTCAACAGGACAGACAATTTCCCTTAAAACAAACAAACAAACAAGGTCAAAAGCCTCCGTCCTGGGCATTAAATCAGGAGGCAAAAACGCACTGGCTATGCACCAAGCATAAGGGACATGGCGGTCTATCTTCCAGGCACAGCTTCTGCCTGCCTGTTCTAGGTCACCTGTCCTAATGAATACTTTTCCATGAGTTGAATGGTGTCTTGGGAACTTTCAGTCCAGCCCAGGTGATGGACAATGTGGCTCTTACCTGCTCTTGAACTTGTTCCTCTGACCCCTCACTGGCCATGCTGCCCTTTGTGGAGAAATTTCCCCTTACCCCCTCATTGTCCGCCTTTTGACTCATTGGGGTCTAGACACTGAACACCAGGGCCCATCAGAAAGCTATCCAAATGTACAAGACTTTAGACAGGCCTACTTTGCCTCTGTTTTCCAGAATTTTTACTGCACGAGGCATAGATCTTTGTGCTAGAGTCTATCTGGAAGCCAGATTTCATATATATATGAATGAAATGGGGTATCATATAGGGGTGTCAGAAATTGAGCATTTTGCCTGAAAATAAAACAGAAAGGGCAATCTACTCATGTGAGTCTCCAATAGACATAGTACAAACTATGGTCCTAAATTATCCTAAGGACTGACACAGACTCCTTAGAAACCCAGATGCTTAGGACCGTACTGAAGCTTATTGCACAGCAGCCAGTCACATCTCTGGTCCCTGAACTGTGAGTTTGCTAGGGCAGTATTTTATTGCGGAAGAGCTTGAGTCGGATTGCTGCCTTGATTCTATGTGTTTTAGTCAAATTGTTTGAGTAGGTTTGGTTGTTTGTAAGCATAGGCATGAAACATGGCTTGGAAGCATTTCACATTGTATCTACTGGTGACAGTAGCAACTGCAATGGGAAGATGGGATGGCAGCGGAAAAGCATTTCTTTAGCTGAAAGTCTTGATATAAATACAAAGGTTTTCATTATAACATTAACATAATTGAGTGTTACCACTCTGGCTTGGCCCTAACACTTGGATAGTAGTTCTCAAACTGAAATATACACTAGAGTCACATGTAGGGTATATTAAATAAAAATCTATTGAGTACAGTATTTCATTTTTAAATCAGTTGGTCTAGGGTAGAACCAAGAATTTATGTGTCAGAGGTCCACAACTGTTCATTGTGAAGAGAATATGTTACTGCGGAGGGTTCAGCCCTATATGGGATATATAGATCACATCCTCCCCTCAAGGCTCAAAGATCTATGCAAAACAGGGGGTGGGGTGGAAGGATTTTAAGAGCCAGGGGTGGTGGAAGACTTCAAGTTAATGGTGTTATCTGGACACAACAGAGCAGGTACACGTACGAATTCCAGGGATTGTGACAGCATGCACTAGACCTGCACAAGTTCAGGCCAGACAAAAGCCCAGCATGGAGAAGGGGAAGAACAGGAACTCCTAACCCTGGCTGAGGACCTATTGGTATTTGATTGCTGATAGGAAACAGAGTCAGTTCTTCAATGGTGTGACATCCCAGGAATAGCTGATCAAATTAAACTGAACTCAATGGATTGGTGCACACAAATCACACACACACACACACACACACACACACACACACACACGATGGGGGTTGGGTGGATAAGGAGTTGAGAGGTGATCTGGGAAGAGTTGGGGGAATTGAATGAATACAATCAAGATAAATTGTAGGAAATTCTCAAAGCATTAATGGAAGCTTTTAAAAAACTGTGTTTCTAAGATGCTTCCAGATTGTGTAAATGCTTAGCACACTGTAGGACCACTGGTTTAGGCTGGGCATTGGACAATGGCTGACAAAACAAGCAAACAAGATCATATTCTCTCTTCCTCCAATCTTTCTCCAAGAATTGTAATCATTATGTGTATTTAATGACTTTCATTTCAATTCAACACAGATTAACAAAATGCTAATGGTGATTCAAGTACAGGGCCCTGTGTGTGTAATTGAACAAGACATCAATGTTTAAACCATTTCAGGGGACACAACCAGATTAATTAGGAATCTCCGTGTTAAGGCAGAAGTCCCTCGGAGGAGCACACAGGCAGTCAGAGAGGAGTCAAAGGAATGACTAGAAAAAAACGAGACAAAACAAATAAAATGACCATAGAAAGAAAGAAAAGGCTCATTGCATAAAGTCCTGGTGCTTTCACCAAGTTGAATGCCATTTGCTGCCTCTATAGATCATGCATGAAAGAAAGATTGGGAAGGGCTGCATATGAAGGTGGCCTCTATGTGTTGAGGTTTTGAACTGAGTTCTGTAATGGAAGGGCCTTTGTATTTTCTGTGTCCGGTGTGGGGGAGTGGACCTCTCTAGGTGATTCACCACCAAATGCCCAGAGGTGGGTGCAGGCTTCCTTCCTGCCCTCACTGAGGGGCTGATGCCCATTGTACTAACCTCCTTCCCATGCTGCTTTGTACTTTATGGGCAGGTGGGCCTTAAGACCGGAAACCAGTGGTTAAGTAGGAGCTCACTGGTTGGTCCAGAGGTAAGGCTGGGTGGGGAAAGTGTAAACCAGGAGGAGGTTTGAAGCTTCATAAGCAAAGGCCTTTTGTATGTCCAGAGGACTGTGGGTGGGGAGAGGTGGATGTGTAGGAGGAAGCCTGGCTGAATGTAAGAAAGTTCTTGAGTATGTAAGAAAGTTCAGATAGGAAAATGCAAGCTTCCCTGATCAGAGGAGTTAGCTTGGCTTACAGGGATTGGCAGGGCTGTAAAACTTTAGGTAAAGCTTACTATCTAGAAGCATCCTTTGAGGGAAAGTGACCATTTCAGGAGGTCCAAGGACACCTTTCAGTGATTTCTTCTCTACTTAGTAAGGACAGAAGAATGAATGAGAGATCTCACTAAAAACTCGAATTGCATGAAACGGTATCAAACACTTAAGAGGAGAGCACACCTCTCCTGCACCCACCCCCCACAGTCTGCACCATTACCCATCACATCACTGACTTCTAACCAACTTTATCTATTTCATCTCCTTATGAATCCTCAAGGGTAGAAGTCAAGTCTTTGTTTACATAGCACCTGACTCAAGTCCCTTTTGTGGGACCCTCAAATTGCATTCCACTGTACTTTTTTTTTCTTTTATTTCATCTTCTTGATTCCTTAAAACTCAGCCCCTAAATAACAATAGC